TAACCAAGGCAAAGGTTATGGTTAATTTTTCATGGTTTGGGACAAGTGGAAGGTGTGGTGTTTAGGCTTAGGAAGGTATGGGTCAAGTGGAAAGTGGATATGGCTTTTTGGCTTAGATGATTAACAAAATATGGAAATGTAAATGCCTTGATCATATAAGTGCACAACATAAGCAAACCACCAGGGAAACTCAAGCAAAGTCTATCATGCAACCTAAGCGTAGTTCACTCATAGGTATTTAGGCTCAAACCTCACCCGGCTATGCATCCACAAACTATCAAACTCAGCTCAGTTCTATGATCAACATTGAAACCCGTATGCAACTAGTCATGAACTAAAGATCTAATGTGACTTGAAAATGTCTAAGGTACACACACCATAAACATCAAGCAAACTATAATCCAGAATCGACCACAAGCAAAACAAGTATCAACAAGATTAAAAACCATGCTAAGGCAGACTATTCACAAAAAGAACCAACAAAGTAATCATCAAAAAAACTATATATAAAAACAGTTAAATACTGAAAATAAAAGACAGAAGAATAAATTGCAATAGACAAAGGTAAACTAAGGTAGGCTCCATCTGCTTCCATCTATGGGGTCTGGTCATCATCATCTCCAAGAGCTGCTCCACCATCATCAACTCCATCAACCTCAGCAGCTCCACTCCCCCAAACTTAGGAGCCTGGTCCCCAGGCCAACCAGTATACGCCTGAAAGTCCTGGTAATCAGAAGTGATTGCAGAGTGTACTCATGAAAGAACATGGTGAGCACAAAAATTATACACAGTGATGACCAAGCAAATATAGCAAAAATGGAGAATATCCTTAGACCAAAATTAAGCACAACATGCATGCACACGGAAATGAACTATAACAATGCAACATAAAGCACACAAACATACAACATACAACAGAACATAAAGAAACATGATTGAAAACAGATAAATATGGGCTGTCAGGAATGTGGTGCGCCGGGCTTAACACAGATGCGCCGGGCTTAATATCAGTAAAAATCAACGAGGTTTCAAAATCTGATATCGCGCCGGGCGTGCGTTAAACGCGCCCGGCGTGGTGGTTCCAGAGACCAAAAATTGAGTATTAGGCCGGGCGCAAAAGAGTCACGCCCGGCGCGTAGTCACTTTAAAAGGTCAATTTGCCCAGGTTTTAAATTAGGATCAGGCCTTATTTCCACCTAGACACAGAATTGCCTCATTCCTCACATTCCAAACAAAATGTACCCTATATTTACCCATTCAAACATGATTCTAACAACTAACACATAACACAAACAACATATACCACAAAACATATAACACAAAACACAACACATAATACAAAACAACACTTATAACACAGAACAACATGCAACAAAAATCTAAAACACAGGTCAGATCTCTGGGTTGCCTCCCAGGAAGCGCTTGTTTACTGTCCCGAGCCTGACGGTGACCAACTTGAAGTGCTCTACTCTCCTTCTCCTCCTGTTGCTCTTGTTCCTCCTTGCTTTGTGCTCAATCTCATGATTGCTCAACAATTGCTCAGAGGGATTGGTCAATCTTGTTCATAGTACCTAGCATACAAGAGAAAGTAGAGGACTAGAGCGCCCAGGTCAGCTTCAACAATTCATTGCTACCATAAAATGAAAATAAAAGTAAAAGAATAAGTCACAAATAGCTATAAATACTAAATCGCCATTCTAATCCCCGGCAACGGCGCCAAAAACTTGTTGAGATTTCCGTTGAAACACTTTTGTTAATATTTGTAAATTCGTTTAATTCTATCAACGGTCTCAAACACGGCAAGTATACCGGCCGTTCAAGTAGTAAAAATATCGTATCCACAGGGATTAGAAGGTAATATAAGCATTTATTGACTATTCGTGACTAAAGAATAATTCCAATTTCATAGTTTGTGCAGTGAATTCAAAGTTGTGACTATTGGAATGAAAGCTGTAAATAAATATTGTTTTGTGAGTGGAAAAGGTAAGGAATGGTATTGTGGTATTGTGAGGTTGTGGGGGTCAGATTTCACCAAACGTAACACTAATGTATCCTTAATCTCTTGTTGAATTCATTGCTTAGTCAACCCAAGAGTTTACTCAAACCTAATCCCTTAGAGAAAGAGCCTAGGTGCGGATATTGAATATCAATCCCTTGAGTACCCAATATCTACACCCGCATTACGGGCTAGGGTTTAAGACTACTAATGGGTCAAGCTCTATCCCTAGATACAATCACCACTAGGCATATGTTTCAGAACTAGTTTCAAAGGTTATTTTCCAATACCCATGGAACCTTAAATCATGCAAAGGGTGATCAATCCAAAGCAAGCATTAAGAATAGAAACAAACACAACAAAGAATAAAACAACATGTATATATATCATTAAAACCGTAAAGATTACAATAGAGTACGTTGGTTACATCTAACCCCACAAAATGGGTGAAACCTCTCAACAAAGAGGGCAAATACAAAATAGAGATGGAAGAGGAAGTGAAGAACCGAAGGAAAGATCCGCACACGGACGATCCCAAGCCCTGGGAATCCCTTCCGCAGCTCCTGGAGGCGCCCAATGTGAGAATGGAGAGAAAGATCCCCGAAAATGGCTTCAAATACGAGCCTGGGAGATCAGATTAGGGTTCCGCGCCCGGCGCACAATTCTTCGCGCCCGGCGCAAGTTCTTCCAGAGAAGTCAAGCACTCTCTGTCTCAACACAAGCCCGGCGCAATTCCTTTTGCGCCCGGCTTAATTCCTGGCAGAGATGAAATACTCTGTTTTTGTCACGCCCAGCGCAGGTTATATTGCGCCCGGCGCAGAACCTCTTCTCTGCTCCTTAGCTTCTTAGGTTTCCAATCCTAAGAGTCTTCAACTTTCCACTCTTCCTCAATACCTGCACACAAAAATGAGGTGGATTAAGGTATTGTTAGATGAATTTGGGTTAGTTATATCTGCACACAAAATGAACCAAAAAGAGAACAATTATATTGCAATGGTTCAAAGGATGAGTGGAATTTGTTCAATAAGTCTCATCCAAAAAGAGGTAAAATTGAGACTTAACATCTAGCGCCCGGAGCGAAGAACCGCGCTCAGCGCGAGGCTCAACAGCAACTCCTCCAAGTTCAAAATTCTGCCAAAACCCTATGAGAATCAACAGAAAAACCACATGCATTCCAGCCAAAATACCACATTTTCAACCAAGAATTCAAAAACACCATCCTTTTTCACATGCAACTATAAAACAAGGAAAGAACCCACATTTCTTAAAAAACCCCACGAAAACCCGAAAACCTCAATTCATCATTTTTCAGCAATCTCAGCCCAAGATCATCCATCAACAAGCAACAAATGAGCATCTAAGACTCATTCCCAACCAAAACAGCAAGGTAACTAGCTTCCCTTACCTCGGTTTTAACGGTTCCGAGCTTCGGGAAAAAGGGAAAGATGAAGAAGAAGAAAGCTCCACGAAGAAGAAAGCAACCCACGCCTCAGCTAGTTCTCAACACACGAAGCAGCACCTTGAATCCACACCCATGGAGAAAGATCAGTGAAATGAGAAGAAAGGAGTAAGGAGAGTATGAGTGAAGGGAAAATGAGAGTGAGTAAGCAAAGAGAGTTGGGGGTAGAAAAGGAAAAGGAGAAAGGGGGTCTCACATTCCTTTTTTTACTTTTCTCTCTTTTTCATCTCTTGTGCTCTCTCTTTCTCTCATCTTTTCTTTTCTTGATCTCTCTTTCTCTTCTCTCTTCCTTATTTCATATTTTTTCCCTCTCTTTTTGCTTCTGCGCTCTCTTTTCTCATGTCTTCTTCTTCTTCTTTATCAAAATTTTTAAATATATTAAAAAAATATTTTGATAATCCTACAAATGTTATATGTAGATTTTTGGTAAACTTGAAGAAAGTTAAAATGGAGAAATTCAAGAATTTAGGGTGATCTAAAATAAACTTTTCAATTATCAAAGGCCTTGGAAGTTAAGGTAGTTGTTGTCATTTTTTTTAGAAGTTATTAAGATGGTACACGTGTATGACTTATGTTTAGTAGTCATTGTTATTATTTTCTTTAAATATTTGAATAAGGTGCTAGAGTAGAAGTCAGAAATATTTTACACAAACTTACTTTGTACATCATTTTACCTACTCCCGTGGCTTTCGATTTTATAGTATGAATAAAAATTATATATAAATGCATAAAAAGTTGTATATAAACAAATGTTACTTAAGAAAAAATAAAATTATAATCAATTTTTTATTAAAAGATTGAAAATTTTATCAATTTTATTTTCTTTATTCAAATCTTATTTTTTATGTTTTTCTTTTAATTTTATTGTTTTTTAAAAACTTATATTGTCTTTTGAAATCTAATAAAATCCTTTTAAATATTATAAAAATCTTGATTAAAAGTATTTAAAAAAAAATCTTTAAAGAAGAAACTCCATTCAAACCCAAGGATAAGGTGCACTTCAAAAATGGGGTGTGTCGAATGAAAAGAAGAAACGGATAAAGAGAATAAAAAATAATAATAAATTTGACCTTGATTTATTTTATCAACATGGACACCTAGCAGTCAACACTGCATGTGGACAATGGTTTGTGGAAATTCTATTGTTATTGTTGTATAAGACAAAGTTAACGACTATTGACCTATGCTTTAGGTTGGGAATGGACAGGAAATTTCTATTGTTCCCTGCACCACACGGTTCATGCAGAGGAAAATTTAGCTATCTTGATTGTATTTTTCCCCATGTGACATTTGCGAGCCAACAGTATATGTGTGGAAATTGAGAATCCAGAGGGGCTTTTGCGACGTCTGCATGAGTGTTGCTTTCTTTGGAGGAGGACTTGTAGCAGTACGACAGCCAGTCAACTCTTGAAATGGATAATTATTAAGCAATCCCTGTAATTAGTAATTCAGTAATCCCTGCTAGCTGCTACTGTTGTGGTTTAGCCATCAGCAAGAAAACAGTTTTGTTTGAAATATCAGAAAAGTAACTAGTTACCAAATCCTATGGCCTCCGTAGCCATTTTGTTGTTCATATTAATGTTATTCGCAAAAGAAGGCACAGGTGAAAGCAGCATTAAGGTGGGGTCTTTGCTCTCTGCTGGAGGCAATCACAGTTCATGGGCATCAAGTTCTGGCCATTTTGCTTTTGGGTTTTACCAGCAAGGTGATGGCTATGCTGTTGGAATATGGCTGGTTGGTGCTCAAAACACTATTATCTGGACTGCTAACCGTGACAGCCTCCCACTCTGTTCCAATTCCACCTTGAACCTCACCACAACTGGCCTCTGGCTTTTCCCGAGTCGAAGGGAAGGCCAAGTTCGCATTTCCAGTATAGAAACTGACACAGTAACTTCTTCAGCATCTATGCTTGATTCTGGCAACTTTGTGCTCTATAATGCGAGTCACACTGTTCTCTGGCAAAGCTTTGATTATCCAACTGACACCATATTAGGAGGTCAGAATTTAACTACCTATTCTAAACTGGTTTCTAGTAAGTCCAAATCAGACCATTCCAGTGGACGTTACGTTCTCCGCATGGATTATGTTGATGATCACCTCGTGGCTTACCCTGTCAACAGCCCAGCAACTGCTGGTGCTGCTTACTGGGCTTCAAATGCAAATATTGTCCATAGCCGTCATAAAGTTTCAGGCTTCTTTTGCTTTGCTGTTGACGTCCCCGATTTTTATAGCCGCAGCATGGATGGCTACACTGTCCATATATGTTTTAACAATAGCATTAGTCCCGGAAAGAAATCACACAACATGAGTTCAATCTACCGTGCAACACTTGATGTAGACGGGAACTTGAGATTGTATGAGCACCAATTTGAGGGCAATGGAAGCTCACGTGTCCAAATACTGTGGAGCACCTCGCTTAAGAAATGTCAAATCAAGGGGGTTTGTGGGTTTAACAGTTACTGCTCAAACGTAACAGTAAAAGGCGATGCCGTGTGTGACTGTTTTCCTGGTTTCGTCCCCTACAACAGCAGCGGTAACCTGACTCTGGACTGCACACTGGCCCACACCGAAGATGGTTGCCAAAGCAGTGAAAACCAAAACACAACGAATTTCTATAAGATTGTTCCGTTAGAGGATGTGTATTGGGATGATGATAGTAATAATCCATATCTTGTAAAACAGATGAAGAAGGAAGAGTGCGTGAAGTCTTTCCTGGAAGATTGTGATTGCATGGCAGTGTTATATTCAGACGGCAAGTGCAAAAAATACACACTTCCGCTAACATATGTCATAAGGAATCAAAGTGCATCGACCGTGGCTCTCTTCAAGAGGCCTTCAGGAATTGTCCCAAGTCTATTTCCAAACAACTCCAAACATATGCCTCAGCCTGGGCCTGGGCCTATGGTGATTGTGGATAACAAGAAAAGTCTGATAATGATTCTAGCCTTTGCGTTGGGTTTCATTTCATTGATATCCTTGGTATTAGCGGTGTCCATTTTCTTCACTTATAAGCGAAAAGCTTATAGGTATACAACGTTGTACACAAGTGAGAGTCTGGGATTTACTGATGAATGTTCTTTGCGTTCATTTTCTTTCGATGAACTTGAGAAATCCACTGGAGGCTTCACGGAAGAAATAGGCAGAGGATCGTTTGGTGCGGTTTATAGAGGCACAATTGGTGTCAGTAACAAAAGTATCGCTGTCAAGAGGCTGGAGAGAATTGCTGATGAAGGGGAGAGGGAATTCCGAACTGAAATTACTGCTATTGCTCGAACACATCATAGGAATTTGGTTAAGCTCATTGGTTTCTGCATCAATGGATCCAGGAAGCTTCTTGTTTATGAGTATGTCAGCAATGGGTCTCTTGCAAGTCTTCTCTTGAAAAGTGAGAAGAAACTATCATGGGGAGAGAGACTAAAAATCGCATTGGACGTTGCCAGAGGAGTCTTGTATCTACATGAAGAGTGTGAGGTCCGTATTATCCACTGCAACATAAATCCTCGGAATATACTTATGGATGAAGCGTGGACTGCAAAGATCTCTGATTTTGGATTGGCAAGGCTTTTAAAGACGGACCATTCGATAATGAAAAAAGAGGATGATGGCACAAGCAAGTACTTGGCACCTGAATGGCAGAAGGATGCACCGATATCAGTAAAATTTGACATTTACAGTTTCGGAATGGTACTATTGGAGATCGTGTGCCGCAGACGCAGCATAGAAATGAATGTTTCCTCGGCAGAGGAGATACTTCTTTCCAGCTGGGTATATCAATGCTTTGCAGCAGGGCAGTTAAATAAACTTGTGACAGAAGAAGGTGTAGATTGGATATTATTGGAAAGAATGGTGAAGGTGGGGTTGTGGTGTGTGCAAGACAAGCCGTCTCTTCGCCCTTCAATCAAGAATGTCATCTTAATGTTGCAGGGATTGAAAGATATACCAATTCCTCCCTCTCCAGCTCACCACCCTAAATAAATATCCTTAGGAACATGTTTTTCCCTTTATAACTTTTCTTTGTATTCAAGTTTAGTATGTGTTTCTTTTTCATCTTGCACTGTTGTTCTTGTTATTTGTGTCGTGCGTTACATGAAAAATAAATTATTATAATTAATAAATTTTATTTTAATAATTAATATATAAAATTATGAAAATTAATTAAATTTAATATATCATAAAAAAATATCTAAATATATATATAAATAAAATGATAGTGATAAACGATTGAAAACATGATAATATGAAGTATTAGGAAAATTAAATTGTATTATATCTCAACTTCAAAAATATCATTTATAATATGAGCTAATGCATTAATTTGAAGAAAAAAAATCTTATAATTAACTTATAAGAAGTGTAATATTAAAATGCTATAAAGATGTAATAATTTAAATAGAAAAAAAATAAAATTAAATTTTTTACCTTATACATTAATTATCAAATGACTCCTGAACACATCTATCATGAAAAATAAAGTTGGTAAAATGGCTGAAAAATTGGTAAAATTAGAACTAAAGTATATATGTTTTTCTTTTGTAATATTATAAAAAAAATGCAAGTTACCTATGTTAGAGTCTGAAAGATTTCTTTATAAACTACAGTAGTAGTCGATGTTGAACCATTTACTTCATCGTCACAAATAAGAATTTTTAGACCATTGCGAGATGTGACTCAAGATATTGCGACATATAATTGACCATATAAGAAAACAGGTTGTGGAAGATAGATGACATAATGCTTCAATGATTATCCTTGACTTTTATTTATTGTCATGGAAAAGAAGACATTTTATTGGAAATTGTCTACGTTGAAATTTGAAAGGAATTCTCTTATTTGATGGAATTAAGGACAATCGAGGAATAAAAACCTTTTGTCCAATATTGTTGTTTGATATCACTTTTGCCTCCAAAATATATTTACCCAACTCAGTTATGATAAGTTTAGTTCCATTACACAACCCAGAAGATTGATCTATATTTCTCAACAACATTATCGAACACTGACTTTCAATTTTACCTCATGATTTGAAAGTCCGGAAGCAGTGATAGTATTAAGGAATTCAAGGGTATGAACATCATTAGGTGTACCTAATTGCCCTTCAGTAGAACATGTACTATCTGAACTCAAATATGACTTTAATTCTCCAGGAATCAATGATAGTATGTAATCATTTAATTGGTTAACAATTTCATTTGTTGGTGTTAATATGGCTCTATGTTGGAAAAATATGTGGTCAGTCATGTTTCCCAACAATGATGAATAAGTGCTATCAACAATTGATGAAAGAGGGTCACCTGTATTCTTTATAAGCAAATCTTCAAGAAATTCAATGTTCATTTCTTCATCATCTCGTTGACCAACAGTTCCATCATCGATGCTCAACACCCAATCTATCTTACCCCCAATAGAGGTGAATGAAAACATCATGTTAAATGATCTAATATTCTCCAAGAATAGCTTACTCTTTGTGTCATTCTTGAAGTAAAGATCCATCAAAGATTGAGGTTCAGACAACAAATCAGGAAGCTTTATTTTACCTTGCATGCAACACAAAGAGAATTAGAGTTTGCTGGATTGTAACCTTTTTGCACTCTCTCAGAATACCACATCATTGCTCCACATTCTTGGCATTCACAACTAGGATTACCAATATCGCAATAAACTATTTATTATTATTATAAGAAAATAATAAACCTTCATGTAATAGATTAATGGTTAAAATATGAAACTTAAAATAAAATACAATATTGAAGACATACAATTGGTAGTGGATACATCTTCATGTATACCATCAATGAGTACATTTTTCTCTGAAGTTCTTATTAATATATCATTGTTCCATATTAATTTTTGTGGTTCTTTCCCTTATGCATGGTTATTATGATTTGATTCACATTTTTCGAACAACTTGTCATCAAATTCATTGTTTTGATTTGATGTGTAGTTTGCTCTTTGGCTAGATAATATCTTAACTATAAAATAACAACCTAAAAGGATAATCAAATAAGAAATGGTAAATATAAACATTATAAAATTAAATAATATAGTTATATTAAAAGAAATAAGACTCCATAAATTACCATTTGTGACATTCGACAATGAAGATTGAGTAAATTGTTCTGTCATACATACACCTCTTCTAACAACTCTATTTAAGATAGTGTTAGATCAATGTACATTATGTGTGCTATCATTAACTAAAAAAAAACTAACATTGTAAATAAGTTTCTCCATAAATAATTTTGAGAAATAAATAATAGATCAAAAAATTTTGTTTAGTACTAACCTGTTAACCTGACAGTTGTTACATCAGAAGATTGAGACATATTACATCGACGTTGCATAGGTGCAACTTTACCAAATAATAGTTTATTTCTAGCAAAAGAGGGGAAAACATTTTGACTGTTGGCACCAAGTAATAATGATAACAAAATATGAATAATCATTAATTTTCAAACATATAAATAGAATGAGACATTTTTTACAAAATTTAATTTTACCATTAGTAATATCCGACAATGGAATACTACATAATTCTACTTTATTAGATGCACTTCCTCCAATAAAATCATTTAGATAATGCTCACGGGAATGATCACTTGGAATAGTATTTCCTGCAATTATAAAATGTACATTCATATATTAATTACATTTTAAAGTGTTTTATATAATTAAATACTTTGACATAAAAATATTTCTTGTTGTTAATATGTAACATTAGGACATACTATCACTCACCATTGGTGACATTTGAATGACACACTCTGACACATTTATTGCGATTACAATATTGAACATCTTCACCAAATGATTTTGAGTTATTTTGTTTTTTACCAACATTATCATCCATAACACTGCTTGTTTCTGAATACTCAATATCTGAAGAAACTAAAGAAAATGTTAAATATCTATTATAAACAATTTATAATGTTTAGCATTGAAAGCAAATTTAAAAAGTTCAACCTGTCAATAAATAAAATTATTTATTTATTTTCTTAAATGACTATTTCTTGGGAGCCAAATCTAAAAGGACAATATTACCAGGGGGTATGTAGTGTACTAACAGAAGCCAAATGCCCACCTATTAAGTTTCATTTTTTCTTTTTTAAATTAACAATTAAAACTTTCTAAACAATCATAAAGAGTTATACAACAATCCTTTGTCTTTTTAATATGAATCAAAATCACAAACATTTAAAAAACTATAATTTGGCAAGCAAATAAAAGGTTAGATAATTTAAAAATCACATGCAGGGTATATGTTTGGCAGTAAATAAATGAGACAATGGAATCTTTAGCATTGAAAGAGGAAAAAAAATGTCATATTGAGAGAAGAATAGTCACAGAGGAAGAAATATATATACAGTAGAATTTTTCAAAAAAAAAAATCAGTATATGTATGAGGCATAACATGTTCAGCTTGGATGGTGATTAAATTTTAGAAACCAATAATCACTCACGGTATATACGATGCAGTAGATAAATCTATCAATCGAATCATTTGTGTTCAAAGAGAGAAAAAAAAAAGAATAACATTGAGAGAAGAATATTCAGAAAAGAAGAAATAAAAAATAAAGAGAGGACAATAATATTATAATAATGTATTTTAATAAAATACTTTAAATAAATAACATAACACATACCTCTTTTAAAGTATAAAATGTTTATCCTCTGTCATATAAATAACTTTGTACTACCTATGACATATAAAAAATGAACAACTTCTAACATAACAATCTAAAAAAAAACTTCTTCATCCACCAAAATCATCTCTAAGAAATTTGTTTACAATGAATTTTTAAACTCTGGCAAAATTAAATCGAATAAGAAAAAATTGAAGTGAAGGACATGTAATGAGTTGACAGCAAAATAGAAATGTCAAATTGGAAAAATCCAGCAACATTACATAGAAATTCATCAATTAAAAATGCAAGAATACAACATGACTACTGTAGTAATTAGTTTTAAACAAAATGATTTGTACATACAAAAGTGACGGTAAGTTTTTTATAAAAAAGATATTGAGTTGTAAGATTTGGTTAAAAAGAAAAAAATTGAAAGATTTGAATGAGACTAATTTAATTTTTTTTTAAAATAAGGTTATTATTTGAATTATAATAAGTAAAAATAATTAAAAGAATAAAGGGAAAAATACATCAATGAAATAAACAAAGATCATCTAAGATCATTGATTCATTTAATTGATTCTGAAAAACAATATATTTACTAATTATATTTTTTTTGGTGAAGATAAAAATTTATCAATGTCATTACTAAGATCATTGATTCATTTAATTGATTCTGAAAATAATATATTTACTAATTATATTTTTTTTGGTGAAGATAAAAATTTCAAACAGAAGCAAAAACAAAAACTTACACTATCCAGCAATGAAATTTATAACTATTATAATTTATGGAGAAAAAAAAATATCTTCATCCACCAAAATCATCTCCAAGGAATTTGTTTGCAATGAATTCTTAAACTCTAACAGCCTGCACAATCTTATTATACGAACTCTTATCTTCCAATCAATTCTCTCCGCTACAATGTCTTTTAATAATGTAAACCTCTGAGCCATGTCTTTTAAAAAAAAAGATGAAAGTAAAAAAGGATAAAATTTTTAATAATATGTTCACTATACATCAACATTGAAACAACCAACCTTTAAAATTAAAACTTCATACAAACATACCTGAAAATGATTTTCCTATGATTGATAGAGAAAGTGTGAATCCTCATATTAGAAGTACAAAAGTACCCAAATCAGAAAGTGGACAATGTATATATGGAGAGAGTATTTTTAGAAATAGGGAGTATGATGGAACTGGACAATCAGAATGAAGTTTTGAAAATAAAAATGCTTTAAAAATTAGAGGATAGTTGAGATTAATTGACATTGAAAAACTGCAACCAATATTACTTCTCTGAGTGGAAGACAAAATGCAAGTAATTTGATGGGAAACGTATAAAGCAGAGAGGAAGAGGAATGATTTTTCTTTTGTATAAAGTAAAGGGAAGGGTTTTTCTTATGTTCAAAATTTATTAAAATAAAAAAATAAAAATTAGAATAATTATGATAAGATAAAATTACATAAGTACCCTTATTTTGAGCAGAAAAAAAGAATCACAGACTTCTTTCCTTTTATTATAATAAAGATAAAGATATATCAAAAGCTGGCTTCTATACAGGCCACCATGAAAGTTCATGTAATATAAAGGACCATAATTTCATGGTATGAATATTTGGGTTTCTGGATGTGATATATTTCTTTTCAAACCTTCTGTATACAATCTCTTACAATTTTGTCAAGTGCGGAAAAGGGGGAATATCAGAATGTTGGAATAGAACCAAAGTTTCACTTAATTGAAATAAGAAGCTAAACATGAACTTATAAACATATATTTCATTGAGATGAAATATTTTGAAATAATAAATTTATGAGAATTTAAATTTAAAGTGTATTATACTAACGTAAAATCAGTGTACGACAAGATATTATAAGATCAAGATTAAGGAGTCTATTTGAATAAGTTTCTCTACAGGAAAATTGAAATAAGCTTTTACATAAGTTAAACTAACTTATACATAAAATAAAAATAAGATTTTCTATAAACTTGTAAGAAAGAATTTTTACAAACTAATTTATACATAAATTAATTTTAATATTTTTCATTTTTCAGTTCTATTTTTCTATCTTAAAAATGTTTATGTAAAAGTTTAATTAAAAATGTAAACTAAGGCAATTACTTTCTCTTTTGCCTAGTTTTTACGGAATTTCCTTCTTATCTCTCATTTTTATCTGTTACTCCAATTATCACAATTATGATTTTCTTTTTCTTTCAATCTGTATTCCCTTCATTTACATGTCCACGGTCTCAATTAATTTTTATGTAGTCCGAAGCTACTCGCCCATGGTTTCAATCACTTTTTTCGCCACATATAAATAAGATTCTTTTAATTTACAAGAAAGAATTATAATACTTAATTATGTATTATGGTAGTCTTGAATCATATAATAGTTTATTGAAAATGTGTTCTATCTTTCTTTATAAATATTCCTCATAAAAATCGTGGTAGAAATGTAGGATAATGTTGAGCCTTGAGATAAGGAACAGCCTAGGCTGTGGCGGAGCTTAATTGGAGCGGGAGAGTGAACCTCGGGGATGTGATCTTTGAGACCAACAATACAGAACTCTTTTTTCTTCGTCCTTTTTGTTAGTTATATGTTTACTTGGTAAGAAAGACTTTTTTTTTTTTTTTTTTTTTCCATATAGATGGTGATGTTTTGTTGGCAGCGATACGATGATGATTTTTTTTTTTGTTAACTATTTGATGATGTTGATTTGATACAATGACCAAGAAAAGTAAGTCTTGCGAGACAATTTGCTTAAATTTAAACTAAGCAAGGCGACTTTAATAGCAAATAGCAACTTTCCTTCTCCTTTCTCTCAGTCTCAAAGCATAAAGTTGAATAGTTATGGATGTCACTGCTATAACTATCACCTTACTGGTGCTCATGTCTGTAGGCACAAGAGTTGAAATGCATCCTATACAACCCGGTGCCTCACTTCTCCCAAATAGCACTCCTTGTTGGCCTTCCCCTTCTGGAGATTTTGCATTTGGTTTCTATGAGCAAGGCAATGTCTTTGTAATTGCAATTTGGTTGGTTAGCGGGGAGAACAAGACAGTGGTATGGAGTGCAATGCGGGATGATCCTCCTGTCTCGTCAAATGCAAAGCTACAACTAACGATGGATGGTAAAGTCGTACTAATAGATGAGCAAGTAGAAAAGGTTATTGCAGACAATGCTAGTGCAAAAGCTTCCTCTGCCTTCATGCTTGATTCTGGAAACTTTGTACTATACAACAATAATTCCAACGTCATATGGCAGAGTTTCGATCACCCTACGGATACGTTGTTAGGGGGTCAGTATCTTCCTAATGGACATCAACTGGTCTCTAATTTATCTCAGAACAGCCACTCAAGTGGGCGGTTTCGACTCAAGATGCAGAATGATGGAGATCTTGTTCTGTATCCACTGGACACATCTGACACAGAACGGGATGCTTACTGGCAATCTCATACTTCCACTTTTGGTTTCAAAACTCATCTTTATCTCAACCATACAGGTTTACTGCAGATTATGAATGGCAGTGACGGGGGAATTGAGAGTCTAGACTGGTACTCATCTTTGCCTAACGATGGGAGCCGGATCATTTATCGTGCAACCCTGGATTATGATGGGATATTTCGGCTGTATGCTCATTTTAACAACAATGGTAGTATCTACAAAGTGCATAACTGGCCGGCCGAAAATAGCTGTAAAGTAAATGGTTTTTGTGGCTTCAACAGCTACTGCACATTCATTGACACCCAATCACTCGCCGAACAGGTGTGCAATTGTATTTTGGGTTTTAAACCCATAAATCCGAATGACTCCACTCTAGGCTGCAAAAGGAGTTTTCAGAAACAAGATTGTGGCGAGAAAGATAGCGCAACCTTATATGACATGAAGTCGATGCAGAATATGGCGTTGGGGGATGATCCTTATTTCGAAGCTGACATGTCAGAAGAAGACGAATGTTCCTCTACATGCTTGGCTGATTGCAGCTGCGAGGCTGCATTTTATGACGGTGAAAGCTGCATGAAACAGAGGTTACCTTTGAGATATGTTACAAGGAAAGGAGAATATTCTTATAGAGGCACGCTATTCTTGAAAGTGAGAACCAACCTCAAGAACGAGACTAGGAATGATAATCCTGCACCTGAACAACTACCTCCACTGCCACCTCCAATCAAGACTACAAGTAACAAAGCAACGGTGCAGATTATTGTCATTACCTCCGTATTTTCTCTTCTTTCATCTTCAACTTTTTTCATCTTCATCCATTACATGTACAAGATTCGAGTATTGAAGTATAAAAGGCTGATGGAGACTGGGAACTTGGGCCTCAGTGAAGAGGTGACTTTGAGAAGGTTTTCGTACAGCGAGCTGAAAAGAGCAACGAATAATTTCAAACAAGAGTTGGGAAGAGGATCTTTTGGAGCAGTTTACAAGGGAGGATTGCACAAGGGTAGGAGGTTGATTGCGGTGAAGAGACTAGAAAAGATGGTGGAAGAAGGAGAAAGAGAGTTCCAAGCAGAAATGCGAGCCATTGGAAAAACCCACCACAAGAACCTAGTTCGCTTGTTGGGTTTTTGTGCTGAGGGTTCTAAAAGGCTTCTGGTTTATGAGTACATGCCCAATGGCTCCCTTGGAAACATTATCTTTGGGGCTCACAGTCAGAGTCACAGACGTCCAGAGTGGGATGAGAGAGTAAGAATAGCAATTGAGATTGCAAGAGGGATTTTGTACCTCCATGAAGGGTGTGAGGCACCAATCATTCATTGCGACATAAAGCCTCAAAACATTCTGATGGATGAGTTCTGGACTGCTAAGATATCTGATTTCGGACTAGCCAAACTTCTGATGCCAGATCAAACCAGAACCTTCACAGGGGCTAGAGGGACAAGAGGGTATGTGGCTCCTGAATGGCACAAGAACACCCCAATATCTGTAAAGGCTGATGTGTATAGCTACGGAATAGTGCTGCTGGAAATTTTATGCTGCAGAAGAAACATGGAAGTTCATGTCTCCGAACCTGAGGCAGTTCTTCTCTCCAATTGGGCTTATCAGTGTTTTGTTGCCGGACAGCTTAATAAGCTTCTTCTTTGGGAAGCTGTTGATAAAACTGTAGTGGAAAACATGGTTAAGGTGGCCCTTTGGTGTGTCCAAGATGAACCTGTTCTTCGCCCAGCAATGAAGAGTGTGGTGTTGATGTTAGAAGGGGTCACCGACATAGCAGTTCCTCCTCGTCCCAATTCTAATTCTATGTGAATTTTTTGTCAATGAAATGTTGCATCGTTCATAAATCATGTGCTTTTCAGTTTATTTGTTTATCTTTTGTTACGTACTGTTGTATTCCTTTTCAGTTATAAAACAAGGTAGCAAGCCACAAGCTGAAGTAGTAATTTTTCATGTTAATTCGTGTTTCAGCAGCAGATATATCATAGTTTACTCTTTACTTAAAGCTTCAGTTTGAGTGAAAAAACAATAGACAAAAGTAGTGTTTTGCTCTTTGAAAAATTAAAATGTCCTTTTTAAATCTTCTTTTTATTTGTTTGTATATCTGTGATTATCACACAAGTCCCTTACTGAGTGACATACGATACTAATATTTCTATAAGCATCATGATTCATGTGTCGTGAATGCAGGTATAATATCAGTATCTAATATCAAATACGGTAGTTTCTAAAGACTAAAGATACGCCGGCATGATTCTTTCATTCTTTTTTTATGGACGGTACCAAATATTTAGAAAATGGATATAATCTTTGTACATTGCATCGGTTATGGTTGTTCATTATCTGCATTCTGAATTTGGGGATGGGCCTTTCGTAAGACATGGTACAGTTGCATACTGTGGGTTGTTGAAAACCCAAGAGCTCCATCGTCACTCTTTTACTACAAAAAAAGAATACACAAATTTGTATATATTTATCAAAGTAGTACTAGTACATTTTAGTGTTCTATTCGGAGTTCCCTAACTTCTATTGCTGTGAACCTTTCGATATATATATATATATAAAATTCATGTTTCACATAAAATTTTAATGATTTAATGGTTAAATTTAAAATTTTTAATACATAAATTAAATTTATAAATTTTTAAAAAATTTAAAAATCATTTAATACTTTATTTTATTATTTTAAATTAATAAATAATTATAAAATTATTTTATACATTATTTTAAATTAATGAAACAAATTATTAAATAATTTTTAAATATTTCAATAGTGGAATTTATAACTTCAAAATACGTTTCTATGATCTAAATTATAACCTTTGTTAAATTGTTTTAGAACATAAAAGACGGTCTTGTTAAAGGAAAAAGACACTTATTTTGAATAAAACTATCAGTCTTCTACTTCTACCTTTATTTTATTTTTTTAACTTATTGCGCTGGATAAATGTACTACACAATTTTGTCTTTATCCAACATTATAGCCTTAGGAAGAAGTTTTTCTTTTCTGGGGAACAAAATCCCATACTATACATATTATCAAATATACAATTTAGAATTTAGCTTTTGGCCAAAAAAAAAATACGAAGAGGGGAAAAAAGAGTACAAATAGAATTGTCCTATAATTTGCTCAAGAAAATTGTTATTTACACTTTACTTTATTATTAATATCTCTCTTTTTGTTTTTTTTTTCAAAGTTATCCTCTTTACGGAAACTCATTTCCAGAGGTATTAATTTTAACATTTCCGGAAGTTCTGTCACTGCACCTCCAAGGCATCCCCTCATCTTCTCTCTACACCATCACATACCTCAGCATAAGAGACAATGTTGAGTGTCTCCCTTTTAGCCACTGAAACTCTCTCTCTCTCCATAAAATCATATTTCTATGGGAGCTTATGCAGTTCATTGATGCCAATCTCGTCGTTTGCCAACTTGTCCTTCAGGTCATTTATGAAAATCTCCCATTAAACTTAATTCCTATGCTCAAACATCGCGTAAACGTCTTTTATTAATATCATCGATAAAAAATATTATATTATTAAATCAATTAATATTATAAATTTAATTTAATTTAGGTTTAATTGCACTTTTGGTCCTTCTAATTTAGTATAGGAGCAATTTTGGTCCTCATAATTTGAATTGCTTAATTTTGATCCATAAATTCAAATAATGGGTAATTTTAGTCCCACAAACAATTTACCATCCAAAATTTAACAGAATTAATGACGTGGATTTTATACTAAATAAAAATTAATTATATATTTAATTTCTTACGTGAAAAATTATCTAATTTCTTACGTGACAAATTATTTAATATTGATATCAATATCAGTAAATCATTAAAACTAAAAAACATGAAATTATTAGTACACGCAAGCAGCAAAGTTTGAATTGACGGAAAGGTAATTTCTAGTGGTGGAACAATTCGTTCAACCCCTGTTCCTCGACGGTCCGTTTTCTCATCCTCGATTGTTTCTTCTCGCCGTACCCATAGGACCATTCACCCTCTCCCACTTCCTAATTCCCTTTCACCTTTCTCACTTGTAAATTTCACACTCCATACATTCTCTCTCTTCCCTTGTTCATTTTTTTTTATTTTAAATTTTGACTTTGAGTTGCATGCATTTTCTGGGTTCCATTGCATCCAACGCTATTTACTCGCATGGCCCATGCTCTACAACCTTCATTCACCTCTTTATTCAATTATTCACTTATCATTGTAAACTCTCAATGGAATCGATGTTATAAAAAGTGTGCTTAAATATATTTCTGCAATGAAATTATACTTTTCTTCTTCTAATTATTGGTTAAATAATAATAAACACAATACGGATCCTAAATCGTCTATTTCTTAATTTAATGTTCGGTGGCGTTATTCTTGATTTAATGTTAATCGTCATATTTCCCAGACTTCTTATATCAATGTCAATGCCTGACCCCCAGTGACTTTATCAAAACATGTATACAACGATTTTAATTGGTCTTATATCAATATCAATGCCCGACCCCTAGTGGCTTTATATGAAATTTCTGCATTTTAATTATAAATATTTTACTAATCCTGCTATTGCAGTTATAAATGCCTGCATGATTTATACGTAATTTAATCTCATGTACCTTTGTTGGTCTGTAAAAGTAACAAAAGAAAAGCACATATAACAATAAGCAACCGAGGAGTAAAAAACACACACATCTATTCGACATTTGGAATAAAAAAAACATACGTATAAAGTATTTGAGACAAATAAAGCCAAAAATACACGAAAAACAAATTTTAGAACACAAAAGAGAATCATCAAAAAATAGAAAAAGCAATTTCCCCAAATTGGCACAAGAAAATACTTTTACCCCATTAATATATGTATAACAACTATTTACATGTTAGTGTATTTCTTTTGTCCAATTGAATCCATGCGGCCTCGTAATCCTGTGAAACGTATGATAAACTTCAAAATGTCAGACCCTTCCAAGCGAATGCGTGTGAAAATCAAATATAATCTCTTTTTCACGTGCACACATCTAATATAAACTATGACTACATGATTACCATCACTCAGTAAAAAGTGAAAAAACACAACCTTATTAACCCTAATCATGTTTCCTTTCTCATGTAGATTAAGAAATAGACGATTTAGGATCCGTATTGTGTTTATTATTATTTAACCAATAATTAGAAGAAAAAAAGTATAATTTCATTACAGAAATATATTTAAGCACACTTTTTATAACATCGATTCCATTGAGAGTTTACAATGATAAGTGAATAATTGAATAAAGAGGTGAATGAAGGTTGTAGAGCATAGGCCATGGGAGTGAACAGCGTTGGATGCAATGGAACCCAGAAAATGCATGCAACTCAAAGTCAAAATTTAAAATAAAAAAAAAAATGAACAAGGGAAGAGAGAGAATGTATGGAGTGTGAAATTTACAAGTGAGAAAGGTGAAAGGGAATTAGGAAGTGGGAGAGGGTGAATGGTCCTATGGGTACGGCGAGAAGAAACAACAGAGGATGAGAAAACGGACCGTCGAGGAACAGGGGCTGAACGAATTGCTCCACCACTAGAAATTACCTTTCCGTCGATTCAAACTTTGCTACTTGCGTGTACTAATAATTTCATGTTTTTTAGTTTTAATGATTTACTGATATTGATATCAATATTAAATAATTTGCCACGTAAAAAATTAGATAATTTGCCACGTAAAAAATTAAATAATATATAATTAATGTTTATTTAGTATAAAATTCACGTCATTAATTCTGTTAAATTTTGGATGGTAAATTATTTGTGGGACTAAAATTGCACATTATTTGAATTTATGGATCAAAATTAAGCAATTCAAATTATGAGGACCAAAATTGTTCCTACACTAAATTAGAAGGACCAAAAGTGCAACTAAACCTTTAATTTATTATTGTCAATTAAATTAATATTATAAAAATAAATTTTTGTTTTGAAACTAAAAAATTAATTACTCTAAATTTTAAAGGTTAAAAATATAATCAAGCTTTAGTTTTATTTTCATTTGAAAGCATGTAATTTATTATTTTCAAAAGGGATTTTCTTCACCTTAGGCCATAGCAGTGCAGTTTTGAGATGAATGAAATTATGAATCATTGTGAAGCATAGGATTTATTATTTTCAAAAAAAAAAAAAATCGGAGCCGAAGATGCTATAAGAGCCAGGTGGGTTTCACGGAAGTGAAGGTATAGTGCCTACAAGAATCGCCGGAATCAGTTAGACAAAAACAAAACGAAAAAAAAAATTAAAAAAATAAAAGAAAAATGGGACACGTAACAAGATCTTTACCATTCTTATTATCTAATGGTTGAAATTTTGTTAATCGGACACTCTCCAGTTTTTTTCTTATGTTATGGGAGAGGATCTGCTCCCAAGCTTGTTTACGGATGCGTAAAACCTCCATAAATGTGTTTCCCAAAAAGGGTATTTTTGAAATATAAATATATAGAAGGGGTATATTATTAAAAAGGAGAGTTGTATATAGCAATTGCTTTGCTCAAATGCTTGTTGGGTTTGAGTGGGTTTTCGACAGATTGTCATTTTCAGCCGATGAATATTGGGTTCAATTTAGTTACTTGCTCTAATTCATTTATTCGTGGCTCATGATAAACACACTTCCACTCTCGTATAAACACACTCTTTTTTTAAAAAAAATATATATATAATGTCTAAATTATTCTTAAAAAAAAATAAAATTCCTAAATTTACACCTCCCTTCCCCGCACCCCACACTCCACACTCCTCTTCTTCTCAAAGTCTCTTTCCGCTCAATGTCATTAATCAATATACTTTTACAGTCATTCTGAATAGAAAAAAAGGACTAGTCCCACCATAACCAGCATAAGAAAGACTCTTTTATAATCATTAGCATTCCGGAAAGTACTTTCCGGAATAGTAAAATTATTGTTCATATAATTTCGAAAAGAACTTTCTATAGTAGTAACTTTAATATTATGGAAAATATTTTTCGGAACATTTTTATATAATTTCGGAAAGAACTTTCCGTA